CATGATAATTCCAAAGCACAAAGTTTGTATATAATTCAAATGGGTGTGTGTATGTGTAAGCATGCAGTGAAGAACACACAGAGAAAACATGCAGTAATGTGTAGGGATGCCGAGCAGGGTGGTTACAAATTACAATTAATTCTGTTCAGAGCCAGCTTAAAGGCAACCGCCGCACTGTGGAGGCGAATATCGCTGGGAAGGGCATTCCAAAGAGTGCTTCCCACAAATGTCAATGACTGACGACCGGAAGGTCCAGGAAGGAAAGGCACTTGCAGTAGCCGCTGTTCCGGTCCTCGAGTAATTCGGCGATCATCCCGGGATGCTTGACCTGTATTAGCCATCAAATGAAAGTAGGTGCAGAAAAGAGGACTTGCAAGATCATGTAGGCAACGGAAAACAAAAAACAAAACCTTGTAGTTAAAAGTGTGAGTTTGGGATCGAATCGATAAGCGCACGAGGAGGGGGGCTGTGGATGCACGGCTGGAGAGTCGGAAAATTGCACGAGTTCCGGATTTGCTGGATTTGATTAAACGACTCTGCAGCTGCTGTGTCAGTGACGGGAAGAATGCATTGGATGCGTACGTTAGTCGTGCTTGCACAATGCCAATGTACCAAAGTCTGCGGGCTCTTATGGGCAGAGATCGCCCATGGCGCCATAGCTGGCTGATGGCGACTGACGCCTTCTGCACAACACTGGAGACATGTGGCTGCCAGGATAGCTGATGCGTCAGTCCTTGATCTCTTCAACAGTATGATTATGCTGCCTGATTCAAATTTGATGCAGTCTGCCCGCAGGCCCTCGATCAATTCGAAGCATCTTAGCAACCGACGGATGTCGAAGGTGCAGCAAACTCAAGAAGAACGCAGTCAAGCTCAGCCAAATTGGGGACGGGCTGGTGGGCATAAACAAACTTCCTTAGAATAAGCAGGGTTATGGGCAATATATGCTTCACTGCCTCAATCACATGTCATTGTTGGACAACCATCAACACTGCCTTGATAAGCCATGTCTTGGCCAGGGGATCCTCTAGACCCTGTTCAACGTGTGCATTTCTTACATCTTCCAAGTAAATAGATATCACGCAAGGACAGACACAGCGAGCAATAAAGTGCAAGGTAGCAAATGACAGGATCAGAAGCTGAGTAAGGTTGCAGATTGCAAAGGGATCAAAACCAGCAAAACAACATTCACAGGCAGAGTCTGGTGCATCTGATATCAGCAGCAATTGCACAGGCAGTTTACTAGGTGACTTCGATCACAAGAACACAGGAAGATGACCATGGTCCGGGTTTAGCTGGGCTACTGGAGCATGATAACGAAATTTTGCATAAGAAAAGGAGAAAGCCAATCGGCAGTGACATTCTGGGATCCAGCAGTGTGCATCCGATTTACACTAGATGATGACATTTCGGAGTTTGAAGCTTGAAGACGTTTCAGCAAAATCTGATGCTACCCCTTGCAGTGCAGGCTGCTACAAGGGGTATATAGATCCTTCTACTCCATAGACTGCAGCATGTGGGTGCTGTTCCATGAACCTTGAGTCAACTTCCCGTTGTAAGCAGCTCATCAATGGGTGCCACTCACATCATTTCTGTGTGTAGTCTGGAGGTCTAGTGATAAGTTTCTATTAGGAGGAATGACATGGGCCACAAACAAGAGCTTATCCGATAGGGATTCGATTTGGCGTTGGATATTTTCTGGCTGCTGATTGTGCTGGCCAACACCAACATGAAGATCCTAGCCTCGGGCCGCACACAGTCCAGGATGATACCGAGTTAAGTCAATGATCTCACAGAACCTTCCACCCTTGCTGGCGCTAGTGAAACGAATAGATAGAGGAAAGACCGCAGCAGGATTACTAATTAACACTGTGCAACAGCTTGGCCGGTTTAAATGTGTAGAAAATCATCATTGGAGTTGCAAAGCTTGGCATTAGAGAAATGGTTACTGACAATCCACTCTATGGCTGAGGCAACTGAATCAAAGAGATTGGCAGACTTCAAGCAAAGTCCAAACGCTAGAGCACGTTAGTACTATTAACTGCCTTGCCAGAATATGACAAATAGCGGGTGGTCTTCAACACATGAATTGGGATATGCCGGAACGCACTTTTGATCCCTAGCTTCACAAGGTACACTAGCTGAGGTGGGGCCATACTAGTAGTATCTGATTTTGGCACGTTAAGATGTACTGAGCAGAGTATGGGAAAGGAAGGTTATGAACGCATGCAACAGGTATTTGCAGTTCATGTTGGGATCTCGTGATCCCATCTACTGGGCTGGCTGTTGGTGAACTTTTGCCGGAGTACTGGTTACGTGGATGATCCTTGTCACAGTGGTTGCAAATGTAGATGAGCTGGCAGATTGACCATATGCACTTGGTGAGATTGAGGTTGAGGTAGATGACGGCGCCAGCATTGTTGCGGGTGAGCAGCGAAGATGATGCTGTTTGGGCTTGGTGTGCTATTTCGAGATGAAAGAAAGGACACGTGTTGTGTTCAGACACCAGGTGAACAAGGTTTTCATGACATACATTGAGGCCTAGCTTCGCCTGGGATACAGAGTGGCCAAGTATTTACGTCAGTGGTAGCAAATTGCATGCCTGGCTGGGAAGCGACAAGCCTTCAAAATTGTGGATTTTACAAAGCCTCTGCGAAATACTGCCTGTTGACCTGAAAAATCCATGCACTGGGATAACAGCCTTCCGGCAGTGTAATAAGAGTGCATTACTAATCACAACATTCATATGGAGATACGCTGCTGTCGACCAAGTTGTGATAGCATGCAGACGTCTACAAGCCAGGCGAATGGTGCCCAGCACCGCTTCAACTGATATTGCATCCCCGGACGAACTAAATTTGAGCTTGAAAGACTTATGGTTATCAACTGCCTCCAAGGTCTAAGGCAACAGTTGGTCAGAGAAGTTCCAGCAGGATATGAACCTGCTGTCATCATATTTCCAAGCACCTATCTTGATCACCCAGCCAGCAGGGTGTGGAGTATGCAGCACTATTGCCATTGTCAGCTAACACAGCTGGTGACGCTAGTACTGTCCATGGTTGCGGCAAGACAGAGATTCCAACCTTGTCCGTGATGGCAGAATGAAATTCATCCCAAATTACTTCTCGAATCCCAGATGGACCCAAAGTGGATAAGGGGCTGACTAGCAATTCGCACACGTCCATGGCGAGAGGGGCAGAGTCATCTGAATGCATTGTACTCCATGTCATCCAGCGATATCTGAACCAAAGTGCACAGGTGTCACTGACGTCTGAATTTGAAGCGCAAATATATTAAAATCCGATGCTGATAAAAGCAAGAAGTGCACAGTTGACGACGGCATTGTTTAAGGCACCAACAAGCGTCAATGAAGTCTGATTTTGAAGCGTGGAGATGAGAGAATGAAAATCTGATGGTAGCACAAGCTGAAAGTCGCCAAAATTATGACTTTGCAGTGTAGCCAACATCAAGAAATACAGAGAAAGCAAGCATTCACGCACATGCACGGACGACACCATGTTGGTTGGCGTTACCAGGGAAGATACATGTGACGTCAGGCTAGGTGTGCGCAAAGCTCTGCGTTGGCAATGCAAGTGCAGTACCACATAGCACTTAACCCTTTCCATGCTGGGCCCCTTTTCTCCAATTGGCCGGCTGTCCAGCGCACTGACTCGCTTTGTGTAGTTTGCGCACAGCTCTGAACGAAATTTTTCTCAATTTACTCCACCTTGATGGAATTTCATCATCCTGGGCTCGTTGGAAAGATCAGGACCAAGCGAATCCATCATGGTAGATCTCAGCGACATAGACACACCAGGGCCACTTTTGCCTCCTCTCCAAACTACTCCACCGTGCCTCGGAACTGTACAACAACTCAATTTCATGTTCTTGTTCGGCATCTTGCCCAAATTCACCCGATTTTCACGATTCGAACTGCGCTGGAAAGCTGAGGTCCAAGCGCTTCATTTGATGTCCATCATGCATGCGTCGTGCCAAAGGAAAATCCCCTAGCCTGCTCCAAAAAACTGCGAAGTCATGAACAAAAAAATGGAGTTGGCTCCGGGCCGTAATCTCGTTAATCCTGTCGCCAAACAGTGATTCTTTATCCTATCGCGACGAACTTTATATGACCGCAAGACATTTACAACGGTGTATTCATTGTCGCGATGTGTTTATGTTTCACGGAGTTACGATAGTTTGTACACTGGACGATGCACTGCGATATAATGTGCGTTCGCCCCGGGCAGTGATTTTGGTGTTCATCCTGTTGCCGCTCAGTGGTTCTATATCCTATCGCAACGAAATTTGTGTCTTCGGAAAGATGACCTCAAGACCTTTGCTACGGTGTATTGATTGTCGCGACGTGTTCATGTGTCACCGATTTACCATAGTTTGTACACTGGTCTATGCACTGCGATATGATGCGTGAATTATTTTCCGCGTATATACGCTCATGGCTCGAAAAGGGTTAAGTAGCGGTGCGTGACAAAAGCAAACATGCCAGTATGCATTTTAACACACACTAACTACCCTAATTGCCAGAGTATAAAGCGCACCTGAGCATAATACACAGAACTAATTTTGCCAAAGTTTAACTTAAGGCAACTCAAGGTATATCGGGAGTATAATACGCAGTCCTGATTTGAGAACATTTTGGATTACAAAGACAGTACTATAGTGTGATCAGAGCCAACATTGTCATAAAAATTACATCCGTAAATGCAAGTGTAACATATGGTGTTTCATGCACATCTTGCATTTGCAGTGTAGCTGGCAAAAGACACCAGAAATGTATGAATATGTTTTGTGTAGAGTCATGGACTCAGATGTGGTAAATTTGGCTACAGGGACATCCATAGTCATTAGACTTCTTCCAAAGTGCACATATTCTCATATTTGGAGCACAGTGCTCACCAGCAACTTGTGGCCTGAAATAGCGTATCTAAAGTTTGAACTACACTCTGACAAACACGGTACAATACTAGTGTGACAAAACTCACTTTCATGACAGGTCCGTCCACGATAGCTGATACAGCAGTAACTGATGACTGCACATCGCCGATTTTTCCATCCACGTCACTGCGCATGTCAGATTGAACTGAAAAGTTGTCAAGAAAAAACACAAAGAAAAAAACCAAGCGAGTCCTTTACTATATCCATACTATCCCTACACACACAATATAGCTATTCTTATATCCATACTATCCCTAAACACACAATTTAGCTATTCTTATATCCATACTATCCCTACACACACAATATAGCTATTCTTATATCCATACTATCCCTACAAACACAATATAGCTATTCTTATATCCTCCTATATGTCAATGACATGGAGGACCACCTCCCAGCCACAACCCAGCTCGCCATATATGCAGATGACACCACGCTTTATCAGTGCATCCCATCCCTGACCGCTCTCCCAGTTGGCCTAGCGCAGCTCCAGACTGCTGTGGATGCCTTAGCTGAATGGGGCCAGAGCTGGAAGATCGCATTCGAGCCGACAAAGTCGCAAGTCTTGACAATTTCGCATCACCGTCAACCCTGGCCGATTCCTCCAGCCACTTTCAATGGGGTGGCCATAGAGGAAGTGGAGGAGCTGAAGTTGCTCGGAGTGGTCTTTGATCGGAGCCTCTCCTTTCGCTCCCACATTCGACAGGTTGCAGTCCGTGGTCACCAACGTCTTGGCTTCATGAGGAAGGCCCTGCCCATTCTCGACAGCAAGGCCAAGTATGCAGTGTATCGCGGCTTCGTCCGCCCAGTACTTGAGTACTGCCCGCTTTCATGGTTGGGTGCGTCCCAGTCTACCCTGAACCAGCTGGACCGGGTACAGCACCGAGCCCTAAAGCTTATCGGCCCAGGGTCATACCTCCCAAGCCTCACTGTTCGGCGTCAAGTCGCAGCACTCACATTCCTGTACAAGCTGCATTGGATCGACGGTCCCCCAATCCTGACCACCATGACACCACCGAGGGCAGTTGCAAACCAGCACCGGCGCTCCACTCGCCACCAGCAAAAGAACCAGCACCAGCACCAACTAGCACCGACACTGCCCGCCGGAGCCCGTAATAGTGCTCTCCGATCATTCCCCCATGCCACGATCCAAGACTGGAATCGTCTCCCATCTGCCCTGCTACGCAACCTTCCCACGCAGAAGGGAATGCAGGCATTCAAGGAAGGCGCCTACAAGTCGCTCCGCAGCCGAGACTGGCGTTCAGCCACAGATGCCCTCTGAACACTCCCTGAACACCCTCTCTGCTTGCACCCTGGCTCCCCCCTTTTTTATTTTTTATTTTTTATTGTTTTATTTATTTATTATTTTTATTTTTTATTTTTTATTTTCTTCCTCTATCACATGTATCATCTTTCCGTTTTCCTTCCTCTATATAAATGTACCCCCCCCCCCCTCCCCTCCCCCTGTGCCTACTCCTCCCCAGTTTTTGGTGCTCTGAAGTGTCGCTGAAGCCGAGACCTCAGGTCGGCGGAGATGCTCCAGTTTTCACCACCACCGTTCCGTCTGCAACCACCTCTACCATGCAGTATTCTGTTCTCGAGGTTCGTGGTTTCTCGTAAAAAAAAAGAAAAGAAAAAAACTATCCCTACACACACAATATAGCTATTCTTATATCCATACTATCTCTACACACACAATATAGCTATTCTTATATCCATACTATCACTACACATAATATAGCTATTCTTATATCCATACTATCCCTACACACAATATAGCTATTCTTATATCCATACTATCCCTACACACACAATATAGCTATTCTTATATCCATACTATCTCTACACACACAATATAGCTATTCTTATATCTGTTAGGTACCTCCTCCCGTACCTTTTCTAGCTGGCCTGCATGCACTTGCGTACGCACCTTTTGTCTCCTTTTGTTCCGTTGGCCTGGGTAGCTACTTGCGCGCCCATATTTGCCATAGCTACCCAGGCCCTTTATCTTGCCGTTCAGACTTGATCTCTCTCTCTCTTTTCTCACTCTTCAATGTAGTCGTTTCCTTCGTCTTGGTCTCTTGTCTCGTCGTCTACTAGTATAATAAATGTCGTTCCCACAAACCTGTTCCCATTGTAATGTCTGGATAATGTGTCGTCAGTCGTCCCGTTTCGAACTCAACATATCCATACTATCCCTACACACAATATAGCTATTCTTATATTCATACTATCCCTACACACACAATATAGCTATCCTTATATCCATACTATCTCTACACACACAATATAGCTATTCTTATATCCATACTATCCCTACACACACAATATAGCTATTCTTATATCCATACTATCCCTACACACAATATAGCTATTCTTATATCCATACTATCCCTACACACACAATATAGCTATTCTTATATCCATACTATTCCTGCACACACAATATAGCTATTCTTATATCCATACTATCTCTACACACACAATATAGCTACTCTTATATCCATACTATCCCTACACACAATATAGCTATTCTTATATCCATACTATCTCTACACACACAATATAGCTACTCTTATATCCATACTATCCCTACACACACAGTATAGCTATTCTTATATCCATACTATCTCTACACACACAATATAGCTATTCTTATATCCATACTATCTCTACACACACAGTATAGCTATTCTTATATCCATACTATCCCTACACACACAATATAGCTATTCTTATATCCATACTATCCCTACACACACAATATAGCTATTCTTATATCCATACTATCTCTACACACACAATATAGCTATTCTTATATCCATACTATCTCTACACACACAGTATAGCTATTCTTATATCCATACTATCCCTACACACACAATATAGCTATTCTTATATCCATACTATCCCTACACACACAATATAGCTATTCTTATATCCATACTATCCCCCCACACACAATTATAGCTTTTCTTATATCCATACTATCCCTACACACACAATATAATATTGGGCCAGTGCATGCAATACCGTGTCTAAGGGCAAATTTTTGGAAATTTTTTTCTTTCTTGAAAATCAATCACAGCGGTCTAGAGAACACCTCTGTGGAAGATAAAGTTGGATTTCACATTTGAAAGTACATAGAGACCATGATTTCTATGGCATTGTCCAAAATAGAATATGCCTTGTATAATGCATTATCTACAGTGTCGTTGAAAGCAGCAACAGTTTTGCGTGTCAGCCTTTAGTATTGGCCAAGACATTCAATGAAGGCTGCCTTGCTCTCCAGTCGAAACTGGGCAACATTGTCCAGCAAGTTCTTGTGGCGTTGAGCTAACAAGAACTCGCGTTCTTTTTGTGCAAAGACAACATGGTCACGGAGTGGTTCCGTTGCATAATTCTTTTCATCCTATGCACGAGGAGAACGAATATCGTCCCGGAGCAGCTCACACTTGTTGCACACATCCATCCGTCGCGTCATGAACTCCATGGACTTGCACTTCTTGTTCTACAGATACAAAATATATAGTAACCCAGGGTTTGCGCTTCACAAGATTGCTCGACATGTTCCGAAAGGGCAAACTTGTAGGCGACAGATATAGGTAAGTTTATTGGAGATTCCTCACCTCTCCCTCTTGGTGCAGCAGACAGCGGGAGACTGAACACTAAGCTGTAGGTCAGAATAAACTGCTGCACTCTGTCTCCCACTTCTGCACTAAATTTATTCCAAGGCACATTGCCAGATTTCCATGTGCACCAGGGTGACAGCTATTGACATAGTATTGTTCTCCTTGTCCACTTGCACACCGTCATGTTCTGCCAACCACAATCATCATGATCATGGAGCTGCATAAACGCGGTTCCACACACGATGTATCCCATAACAGTTTATCCAAACGTGATGCGCGTCCGTTCCGTTGCGGAAGCTGTCGACTGATGCCCGACAGTCGACAGGATCGTCATGAGTGCAGCGCAGCCAGCACACCAATATAAAAATGCCGAGGTCCTTCGATTTCATCGCCGAGATTTAGTCGTCGTAATGGAGGATTGCGCTCGGCGTGAAGCTGCTGATATGGTAGTTCCAAACGCAGCCACAGCCTTCGAGGATCAGTGAGTCCACAGCGGCAATCCTCTGAAGCGCATCCTGCTCATCGTCGCTTGCAGAGTCCACAGAATCTCCGCCTAAATCCATCCGCTCTCGACTCGCCTTCAACCTCAACGCAGGAGTCTTTCACTCCCGGACGCTTAGCTGGGGCTTCGTCGGAGTTACTGTGAGCATGCAGTACAGCTGCTAGTTGCCGATTGCTCCGACTCACGACTCGCCAAATAAATTGTCGTCTTCCTCCGCGATAGTAAACCTTGCCGATCTCTACGGACGCACCGGCGATAATCACGGGAGCGGTGCAGCTCAACTAACGTGCTGCTCGGCGTCTGCCGCGAGTGTGTCTACTCAGAGGCCCTTCCTCAAGTGCTACTTCCAAGTCGTCCTGCTTCGCCACGTCCATGTTGATTGCTGCAAGTCGATTGCTTGTTGCTTCTCTTGTCGTCTTGAGATCGATTAGGAATGACAAGATCCGCGATAGAGCCACAAAAAATATAACTCTTCTTTCCGAGCGATTTTCTCAAAATTCTGAAAGAAATCGGTTTCCCCCGAAGACACGTTTTCGCATGCACTGGCCCAATTATAGCTATTCTTATATCCATACTATCCCTACACACACAATATAGCTATTCTTATATCAATACTATCCCTACACACACAATATAGCTATTCTTATATCCATACTATCCCTATACACACAATATAGCTATTCTTATATCCATACTATCCCTACACACACAACATAGCTATTCTTATATCCATACTATCCCTACACACACAATATAGCTATTCTTATATCCATACTATCCCTACACACACAATATAGCTATTCTTATATCCATACTATCCCTACACACACAATATAGCTATTCTTATATCCATACTATCTCTACACACACAATATAGCTATTCTTATATCCATACTATCCCTACACACACAATATAGCTATTCTTATATCCATACTATCCCTACACACAGAATAGTGTTGTTTTTCGTTGCCTGAGAGTAGCGATTGAAACGAAAAATGTATTTTTTT